CGTTGGCGAAGAAGGAAACCAGAACAGCAAATAGCAGATTTTTGAACTCAACTCTGGGTGGTCCAAAACTCACCCGAGCCACCCGGGACCCCGCCCAACTGCACCAACAAATCTATAAACATAATACGAACCTGCTCAAACTCTCGCAACACGTAAAATAACAACGAAACTAAGAATCGCTCCCCAAAACTAAATTGAATCAACTTATGAACTTCAAACTCCTCAACTTACTCCGAATGCGCCGAATCATACTTAGACTACTCGGAATGACGTCAAATTTTGCTTGCAAATATAAAATCACCATACGGAACTATTCCCAGGCTCAAAATACTAAATGGACCTCGATAACACCTAAACCTATTCCAAACCAAACTTAAAGAACATGAAAACCTTCAATGTGCCAACTTTCAATATTAAGCGTCGAAACGCTCCCGGGTCATCCGAAACCGATCCGAATATATGCCCAAGTCCAAAATCATCATACAAACCTATTGGGACCTTCAAATCTCGATTCTGGTGTTGTTTACTAAAAATATTGATTCAAGTCAAACTTATCTATTTTAAGCCATTATTAAGGAACTAAGTGTTCCGATTTCAACCCAAACCCTTCCAATCCCGAACTAACCGTCCCCATAAGTCATAAAACAGTGAAAGTACATACGTGCAATCTTTTTAGGGAAACATGTATCTAGAAAGAAAAATGACCGATCATGTCGTTACATGGGCCTTACAGGTGGTTCAAGCCCCGGAAGAACAGATCTAAAGAATGTTCCAAAATCAAAGGGACACTAAGAAAAGAATTCTAGAAATTGCTGAATACACTTCTCAAAAGTGCTCCGACTGCGAAAAAATGAGCAATGTTATGTTTTTTAATTCAGTAATGAGCTTCACACACCAGGTCATGAACGATTTACAGGTTCTTCATGGAGAGATAGGAAACTGTCCGGGGTAGTGATTGAAGAAATAGCTTAGGGATCTGTCTGCAAGATCAAAGTTATTAGAGTCTTTTACTTTTTGAGTTTAGAGTTGTCTTTCCTGTATTAGCCTCTATTTTATTGAGTCTGTTTTGTGGTATTTTTTGTATGTATTTTTGCTTTGAGTCATGTAATGAAAACCCAAAAGATATACGTTTTAATGTAATATTGAAATTCTAAAAAGATTCTCTTCTATTTTATTATGTTTATTCCCCTAAACTATGTAATGGTCTAATTCATGCGGCATCATGATTTGTAGGCAACCCCTAAGGGGTGCGATCAAAACCTTGTTCAAAACTTAAGGGTGTTCAAAGAAAAGAAGAAAAAACTAGAGAGTATAATAAATAAAAAGAGAGATTTTGAGCAAAATAAAAAGGACGAGAGGCATGAATGGGAGGTGAAATAATTGCAAAACCCGGGATGACACATGCAACTTTTCCAACACAAGAAAGAAGAGTTTAAATGCTAGGTGCATTGCATAACTACGTGTGATTTTCTATCCTTTAAATGCTCCAAACTAACATGTTTGTTGTGTGTCTCAATTAGACAAGGTTTATACTGGTGGTTGATTTGTAGAATTGTAGCATCATATCCCTATTTCGCACAGTCAAAAGTAAGTCTCCTAATGGCTACTGAAAGCATCCTCACCGTCGTCAACCCCGATGAAAGTCCAACACCGGCCATTCCTCCAGAATCTGCTACTGTCGAGGAAAATAGAATCCTAAAAATAAGGATGATGTAAATATGGAAGGCTTGGTCTAATGGGAGAGAGGCTCCTAGCTCTACTCCAGGGTTCCCAGAGATTGCCCCTTGAACAACCGGGGTTATCATATTTTTGTGCATGACTCATTCTTTCCATATGGGTACAGGCCTACACCCAACAATGTCGCTGCCATGCCCTCTGCCGCTCTTTCTAAACCACCATTACCTAGAGATACACCGATGGCCATCATTTCAGCTCCCCTCTTCACCACCTCACACCCGAGCATACAAAGGCAGAATAATGAACCGCAAATCATCACTCCTCAGGGCCCCCACTTTTAACCTGAGATGATTATTGTACCTGATTCTTATAACCAAATCCCTTAGTATGGTTTCCCTGTAGAAATCGAGAAGATGGCCAAAAGCCCTAAACAAGAAAAAATGGCCAAGAAAAATGAAAAAGTCTACAATAAAGCCTGCAAAATATACAAGGTTTGAGCGGACAAAAAGTGTATATTTTGGTGATCTGCGCATGTTTTGTCATGTGCACTTGCCTCCAGTGTTCAAGTCCCCTAAAATTGAAAAGTACAATAGGCACGATAATCCCATTGATCATTTAAAAAGGTACTATAATCAACTGAGAGGAGTCACGACAAATAAGACTGCTAATGGCCTACTTTTGTGAAAGCTTAACCGGAGTCGCCTCGGAGTGGTACATAGATCAAGAGATCTCACACTGGCACGTGTGAGATGATCTAGCTCGGAACATTGTCAAGAATTTCCAATATGACATCGACATTGCGCTTGAACATAACTCATTGTTGAACTTAAAAAATAAGCCTACAAAAGGTTTCCCTGAATATGCTATGAAATGGAGGGAACAAGCGGCAAGAGTCAAGCCACCCATGGATGAAACCGAAATGATAATTGTTTTCCTTCAAGATCAAGAAGCTGATTACTTCCAAAACATAATGTCCGCCATGGGCAAACCTTGAGCCAAGGCAATCAAGATCTGTGAAATAGTGTAAAATGGCTTGAAAACTAGAAACATTATAAGCCAAGTCGCGCTCAAAGCCACTTCTCAAGCCATTCAAAAAAGCTCAGGAAGCCTGGCCAACAGGAAGAAGAGGGAAGAGGGAGCCATGATGGATTCAAGATCTAGGGGGATTCAGAGAGGCCCCAGCCTCTCATACATGAAAATCAAAGCTCCACAATACTATTATCCTCATTAAAAGTTTCCTATGTTATGGGCCCATCATAATATGTAGTGATGAATGCACAACCCTACATATGACCACCAAATCAAGAGATAAGAACTCCACTCTCACAAATACACATGCCCAAAATTTAAACTACCACATCCCATACAACTCACGCCCTCAGCCAAATGTCCCATAATACAATCCCTGATAGAGGGAACCTCAAAGAAAAACCAACTTTACTCTTATGGGAAAATCTTACTCAAGCCTTTTTATAAAGTTGAATTGCTTGGCTTTATTGCAACTGGTAGCCCTAAATAGAGAAAAACCTGAAGAAAACTATAATGGCCATTGCTTTCCCTGAAAAGAAATAGGAAGTAGCCGCAGAATCCAAGAAAAAGGAAACTCGGGTTATCCAATGTTGCACTCTATTTTGCACATGTCAAAACAAAATACAACTTATGGTTTCCCTAAAGTTGATGAAAGAAGAGTCTTTATCTAATATTTAAAGGTATACTAAGGTACCTATAAGTCTACAAAGATCATTGTCTCAATGGTCCGCTAAACCAATGAGAATCCGGGTAAGGGTTCTAGTTATTCTAAGAGGAAGGTGTTAGGCATCCCTTACAATCTATTTTAAGTAGATCCATAACCTAGGCTAAATGTGGGGAACAATATTGTTTATATTGTAGTTAATTTAAAGGTACTAAGTGGAACCATATGAAAAAATTGCTTAAAGTGATGAAGGATTTGTTCAAACATGGGTCTACAATTTTAGAAAATGAAAGTGTTAGATTTTAAAACAATGTTGTGTGACTTATTTTAACAGTGAGGATTTGTTTTAAAGATGCAAGTCTATGCTGGTAGTTAGTCCTTTTATATACCCAAAGATATGTGGAAAATGAGTTATACCTTGGCTGTTTTGAAGATTCATTTGATATAAACTGAATTGATTTTCAAAAGTGATTTTACATCCTTGTAAAAATCCAGGTCTGATTTGAATTACACGATTCCTTTCTTTCCAAAATGAGTAAACCGTCGAATTTCGCCCAACTGACTCATTTGAAAATTTCCTCCGAAATTATTTCTATTTAAATTCTACAAAGGCTCTTAATAAGTAAAATTTGTCAGAATAACACAGGTGAGCGAAAAGAATTTAACTAATGAGTAAAACATTTTAAATATATATTCAGAATCTTGAAAATCATTAACCTTATAAAGTAACGAGTTATCTTGATCATTTTACCTTTTATCCTACGAGGTTTGGTTATCCTAGGATATTTTCTAAGCAAACACAATAAAATAAAATCACATAATATCAATGTTAGTTCCAAAATACAATATATAAATATAAATAGGCTAACAGTGGCAACGATTTAAAGTGAGGTAAAGGACTGGACTTAGTGTTGTGCTGAAGATTAGTCATGCCCAGTTCAAACTTAAGCAGCAGAAAACTCCAGTGGACAGTGAATGCAACAAGGGGAGATGGCCCAACTCAGTGGCTTTGGGCCAGAGTTCGCCATGAACTCCACAAACCCAATGTATTCAGGCAAAGAAGAAAAGAAAATTAATTGGCACTGCATAAAGGAAATAAAAAATTAAATTAAGATCGATATAATCAAGATCTAAAATGAAAAAAAGTAAATATTTTTCGTTTGTGACAACCCTCCAAAGATTAATCAAGGTTAGAGACCATTGGCTAGAGCAAACCTTATTCATTTACAAGGTTCTCCTATGAAACCCCTAATATTTTAGAGTTCATAAGGGCCTCTTGCACTCCGAGCAGTGCTTGTGTCAGGGAGGGGTCCCTTGATAGTAGAATTAAGTTCACAACAAATACCCTTAATCGTTGAACCTTGTTCTTTCATAGAGGTTTAAACACAAACCTTGACTTAACACTATGAGCAAAACAGACTAATCAGAACATCAAATAAACAGCTACAGACAAGCTTCTTTCAATACAGAAGGCCTTAGGCCAAATAAACATGATAGATTTAAGAACTAAGTAAAGCATAAACAGTCTCAAATAGCTAGATTATCATTAATAATAAACAATCAGTTAGACAAAATGACATGAATAATTAGAGTATTAGCATAGGCCTCAAATTCAAAGTGCTCTTAGTAAATGATCACTGTTAGAGTACATGATGCAAGTGTATGTCATCACATACAAGACCTCAAAAGGTTTTAAGAAATTTCAAAAGCTCAGAGTCAACTCAAGAGGTTGTGAGAATCTAGTGGTGAGCATCCTCCACTTTCAACCAAGAGGTTGTGAGTTCGAGTTACCCCAAGGGCAAGGTGGGGAGTTCTTGGAGGGAAGGAGCCGAGGGTCTATCGGAAACAGCCTCTCTACCCCAGGATAGGGGTAAGGTCTGCGTATACACTACCCTCCCCAGACCCCATTAGTGAGATTATACTGGGTTGTTGTTGTTATTCAGAGTCAACTCAGAATCATTCTACATGCCATGACACTTACATAATCTTCTTAGGAATCTTTATTTCAGTCAAATACGATCAGAGAAGGCCATTGATTGAGGGTTTCTATTTAGTTATCCGTATAGGTATGCTTACTATATCAAAGATGTTTTCAAGTTGTGAAGTGTCATCCTAAGCTATCTAAGGTGTCAAAAGAGTCAACAAAAAACATTTCATCCAAACATACACCTATTCACGTGGATTTCAACATGGGCCTAATGTCTTACAAGAAGAGAACCAAGCACGGTTTTCTTTTAGGCAATTTTAAGTCATTACATACTAAAGCTATAGGTCACCAAACCAAACTCAAAACAATCACTTAATGACAAGAACTTCATTACATATTAGGCAACATAAGATAAGCATTTTAGACATCAACATTATCCTTACAAGAGACTATGCTAACAGTGAATATGACAAGGGTTATCTAACAGGATAGGATGGTCAGATTGCTTCTTGTATAGAACCCCATAGACATATTAAGCTAAAACTAATAAACAACCTATATTCAATAGTGTTTAACCAACAAGTATGACAATGTTAACTTTCAGTAGATTATTTGGAACTTAAACTAATAAGATCTTCATAAACACAACAAAATTTTCACACAATGGTAGAGAGTATCATCTGCGTTAATAACCATAAGGTAAGCACATATTTCAGACCGGTCACTATTTGACCAAACAAAGTAGGATCACAGTCGAGTCATGAAAAGTAATCATGCTAAGTAAGCAAATTCATAAACATATTTCATGTTATATTCATATTGACATGGTAAGAAAACATGTCAATCACAAGAATATCAGCAGAATAAGCAGAATAACCATAGATAGAAGATTATAAGCAGAGCTCAAATATTAAAGTGAGTTGTAAAGAGGTGTACTGCCTTCCTTAGGGCAACAAACCAGGTATTGAATTTAGCCAAAGGAATTAGTACTCAACAATCTACTTTAAGACGATTAATCTCAAGCTAAAATAAAAAGAAAGGAAAAGAAATTGTAAGCGATAGGCAAAGAGATTTATACTTTAGTGTAGTTGCATTTACTGCTAGTTGTTTGATGTTAGGTGAGGCAATTTAAGCCGGTGTTTATAGCCAAGGATTGGCCTTAGGGTTTAAGTTTTGAAGATTCAAATTAATAGAAGGTAGAGACTATAATAAACACTTATGACAGGCTCTCATGACAGAATCTAGAGGTTCTAAAATCAGAGGAGGAAAAGAAAAGAGTGAGAATGTTAACTTTAGGAATGACGAAATTGATAGCCGTTGAAGCCAGTGACCGCCGGACAAAGTTATAACCCTAATCCCTTCGTTTGACCTTTGGGTCATTGATCGCCATGATGAGGCTGGAAAATTCTAATGAATCTGGAATGCATGACATGTTTTAATCGCGATTTGAACAGAAAATGGGTGTGATGATGAGATTCGGGGCCTTTCATTTTTTCGGCTAAGGTTTCAAAATTTGGGGGTTTGAAAGGGATGATGAGAGTGGAATATTTTCGGCTAGAATCACGGTTTGAGTAATGATATCGGTGTCACAATCATCCTTTAGTGGCCTTGCACTAATTTGTGCAAAATCCTAGGTGTGACAGAGAAGAGAGAATGATGAAAGTAAGAGATAAAAGGGGAAAGGAGGCGGATGGTGAGTGAGGGAATGACTTAGAGTTTTGGGTGGGGGGGGAGGGGGGGTTGGTAAGCTTAAAATGATGGAACGAATAAGAGTCGTTGGATCATCCAGATCAACAACTCCAAGTTTTTGGGCTGAGGAATAAAGAGAAAATATTTATGGGGATGCAACGGGGGCTGTTGGATCATTTTGATCCAAGGGTTTGAGATAAAAAACTTGAGGGACTAGAATTAAAGGAAAAACGTGATTAATCTGGACAGTTGATGAATTTGATCAACTGGCCTGGTGCATTGTGTTTGTTTTGTGAGGGGTTTGAGTGGTGACATGTCAGGAAGGGATTGGCAGAGAGGGTATGGCATGGATTTCCAAGTGGGCGTGGGTGGCTTGGTCTTGAATGAGTCAGGTGCATTTTGGGCTAATTTTTGGCCTAAATTGATTGGGTTATTGAAAGACTACGCTGAAATTGAGATTAATCATATAACCACTTTAATCAAAATTAAATAATTGCAAATGTACCTTGTTTTAAATCTTAAACCCCTTTTTATAATTAAATTAATTAAACATCTTTAATTCTAATAAGAAATAATTAAGCGTAATTGACAAATATATTATTAACAAATTATTTTAAGCTAATTTTATATTATCAAAATAGTTAAAAATAATCATAGTTATATATATCAAAATTATAAAAGTTGATTGGTTGATTAATTAATATAATAGAGGTGGTATAATTGTAATTATTTAATACTATATTATTACTATATAATTATAGGCATAAACTTAATATTAATTGACTATTATTATTGTTGTTATTTATTACACATTATATTTTAAAGAAAAATAGAAAATTTGAATAATAATTTTAAAAACACCTTATTACATTATTGTTGATGAAGAAACAAAATAATTTAATTAGAAAAGGGGAGGGAAATAATTGGTCGTCAACAGCTGCCCCTCTTTGACCGAAAATGATAAAAGAGTTTGCGGGCAAAGAAATTGACTCAAGACCAATTTTGTCCCTACATTAGGCATATAATGCACATAAGGCATATTGAAATTATGAAAATAATGAGCTATGAGATTATGGCCGAATTCTGGCTTTTCAATCGCTTACATACCTCGGACTCAATGAGGATCAAGCCGTATGTAGTTTTGGAATGACGATTTGAGGAGATTTATGCTTGCAGGGATTATCCCAGTATCATGTTATGATGATACAATGTGACAGAGAGATTTTGAGATTCAAAAACGGCTTATGAGTCACAGCTAGATTATAAATTTTGAGGGATTTTGAAAGTTCGCAATTCTACTGGTCGAGTTGAGCTAGAGACTTGATCTTTGACCCTCTTATGAGTTTGTTGTCCCTCATTAGAGACAGTTCTACATTGTAGTGTTTGACCTGCAAAAGGAAGATACACACATACCTATATATTGATAATGCGTGGCTGCCGACAAACCTATTTTTGGGATCTCTGGGCGATGGGATGTTTGAATTTGAAACCTTCGAGCTGTGGAGCATTATTTGGGATTCCAAGAACTAGGTGTTTGAGTTGAAGCCTCCGAACTATGGAGCATTATTTGGGATTCCGGGGATGGGGTGCTATGATATTTGATTTGAAGGTTAGCCGGACTATGTACCGTACCGAAGTTATCATAGCGTTTGACTTTGAATTTTGACTTTGAACTTAGAAATTTGACTTTTGAATTTGAATCTCCACAAAATGGAAGTATTTGGATTTGAGCCTCCGCATGGCAGATTGTTTGAATCTCCAAGTAATGGAGTATTCGACTTTGAACTTTAACTTTGAATTTCCGCGCGATGGGAGGTTTTAATTTGAACTAAACGAGAACGTAAAAGTGCATGTAAGCTTCATAATGAAAATGTTAAATCATTCAAAATGAAATAAGAGATAGAAGAGATCATGCTCAAGAGATACTCTTGACTGCAAAACTATTTTCTAATTTGCGATCGCCGATCGGCGAGACATGTAACGTAATTTGAATCAACCAGCCTTCGATTGATGAAGCTGGCGATATGGTTTGCAGCAATTTATTTCATATCTCCAATTCAGTGGAGCGATGTGATAACTATACTATCCGGTGGTGTGTCCGGGCTAGAGTGTGCGACAGTATAATGGGCTTCAATTGGAAGAGCGGACGGTGCGATCTATAAAAGATGCTTTGATTGGTAGAATGCTCGGCGCAATCTGTACAAGGTACTCTGTCAAAGGTTTTAGCGAATATAGCATAGATTCTAATTTTATCTAATGTCATTTAATCTCTGTCAATCCAGCAGCAGCAACAACAACAACAACAAACCCAATGTAATCCTATAAATGGGGTCTGGGGAGGGTAGTGTGTACGCAGACCTTACCGCTATCTTATAAAGGAAGAGAACTCTTTCAATCCTGTGCTCAAAGAAAATTCTTAGTGGGGGATGGGTGTTGATTCGTGTCGACCATAAACTTGGCCTTGCTCTGATTCCTTCGTGCTCCTTCCGACTGTGGTGAGTTGTGCCATTAGGCTCGTCAGGTGAAAAGTGTAGGGCACGCCTTTTTATAAAATAATTTTAAGGAAATAATTTTAAAAAATCATTTATATCTTCGGTAAACGTTATTGTTCCAAACTATGACACGTTTAGAAACCCCTGAACTTCTTCATGCAAATATCACATCTGGATGGCTCTACTTCGCTGATGATGTCTTTTTAGATGTGCCCTAGATGACGCAGTTCCACTTGCTGATGTGATTACTTTGTAATCTAGACAACACATAACAAAGGCTTTTCTAGGGTGATGATCGAAACTTTTTAGGTCCCCTACCTATCCAAAAGAATCAGGTCTAAGCATAGATCCAGGGTATGAACAAATAAAATTTTGAAGTGACCCAGCCTAACTCAGGTTGCCTACATATTCAAATAGAATCGGGTCAAAATGTAGTTCGATTATAATAAATGCAAAAATGAAGAAATGTAATCATGAAATGATATGACCGAGTCAGACTCAGACTGCTTACGTATCCAAACGAATCAGGTCAAAATGTAGTTTGATTACAATCAATGATTGAATCTGACATGGATTGCTTACGTATTCCTACCAAATGAAATCAAATCATGGAACAGTTTCGACTATATGGTAATGATATTTGAGTTTTCTATTACAAAAAGGGGGGATCGGACCCTATATAGGTTGCCTACGTATCCCATCATGGAAAGTTAGTTCAAGCGTAGTTCTGTTACATAAAAATCTAACTCAATTGTCTTCAAATGTAGCATTTTTTTATCGCGTCTGAATCGATGGGCTTTGTACTCACTCTGCCATCCATTTCTGCTAAGATTAATGCTCATCCTGACAGTGCTCAATAGATCAATAGGGACCTTTCTAATTTGGTGTAAACTTTCCTTTAGCTTCGTCTTGGTGGGAAATATCTTCTTCAAGACCAGTTGTCCCGGTGTGAACTGCCGAGGTTTCACTTTCCTGTTGAATGCGTTGGCCATCCTATTTTGTTAAGCTAACCATGACAAACTGCGTCCATCCTCTTCTCATCAATGAGCACTAGTTATTCCTGCCTGATGTGTATCCATTCTGCGTTGTCTAACTTGGATTCTTGGGTAATCCCTAAAGAAGGTATCTCCACTTCTGCTTGTATTACAGCTTCAGTACCATATACTAGCATGTATGGCATTGCCCCGGTATATGTCCTTATCGTAGTACAATAGCCAAGCAGAACAAATGATAGTTTCTCATGCCACTGTCTGTGGTTGTCTACTATCTTTTGCAGGATCCTCTAGATATTCTTGTTAGTTGCTTCAACTGCTCCATTCATATATGGTCTGTATGATGTGGAATTGCTTGGACGATTTTGAACTTCTCACAAATTTTCCTCATTATATCATTATTGAGGTTGGCTGCATTATCAGTTATAATTGACTTTGCAATCCCGTATCAGCAGACTATGTTGTTACGAACAAAATCTGTCACTACTTTCTTCATAACGACCTTATATGTAGAAGCTTCAACCCATTTGGTGAAATAATCAATGGCCACCATGATGAAACAATGCCCGTTTGACGCGGCCAATTCTATGGGTCCAATTACACCCATGCCCCAAGCAGTGAGTAGCCAAGGAGAACCCATTACATTTAGTTCATTTGGTGGAACCCTGATGAAATCCCCATGAATCTGACACTAATGACATTTTTGCACGTAGTGAATGCTGTCCCTTTCCATTTTCATCCAAAAGTATCCTGCCCTCAGAATCTTCTTGTTTAATGTGAAACAGTTCACGTAAGGCCCACATGTCCCTGCATGTATTTCTTCCAACAATCTTGTTGCTCCAGCAGCATCTACGCACCTTAACAGACCCAAGTCCGGGGTCCTCCTGTATAGGACTTCTCCTTTAAGGAAAGAGTGGTTTGCATGTCTTTCTAATGCCCGCCTTTTACCGGTGGTAGCATTCTCTGGTTTTCTCTCGTCTCAAGGAACCTTTTAATGTCATGATACCAAGGTTTGTCATCTGGATTTTCATTTACGTGAAAGCAATATGCATGCTGGTCCTGGGTCTCCACTTCAATAGGGCCAATGTAATTCTTGTCTAGTTGTTGAATCATGGATGACAATATTACAAGAGCGTTGGCGAATTCATTTCGGATTCTGGGAACATGTCTGAACTCGATCTCGGTGAACTTCTTACACAATTCCTTCACACAATGCAAGTACAGAAGTATCTTGACGTTCTTGGTAGTCCATTCTCCCTAGAATTGGTGGATCAGCAAATCAGAATCTCATATGACCAAAAGTTCTTTGATGTTCATATTGACCGCCATCCTGATTCTAAGGATAGATGCTTCGTATTCCGCCATATTATTTGTACATGGGAACCTTATGTTTGTTGAAATCAGATAATGTTGTCCTAATTCGGGAACTAAGGCTGCCCCAATTCCTACTCCCTTAAAATTTGCAGCTCCATCGAAAAACATCCTCCATCCTGGGTAAGACTCTGAAATGTCTTCTCCTACAAATAATA